GTCAGACTGATCAGTCCTCAATGGTAAATGTGCTGCTCTGTTGTGCACAGCCAGCGGCTTGCAATTTGCTCACTATGTTTCATGAGACAGTTGTTTGTGGCTGTTTGGAACACATTTACCTCTTTGGGGATTTATGCGCTAGTTGCAATGCCAACCTCCATAGTGATAGAAATTTCTTTCTAACTAAAATAGATAATTAGAAGCTGGTAATTATTGGTCAAGAATTATCAGAGTGAAAAAAATTAAGCTCTTCATAAATAGTTCTTGGCAATGTCATCTCTTTACATTATCTCATGCCTAACAGCACTTTACTCAGAGCACTTACAAATTTACACTACTGCTGTTGAGTCCCATAATTTTATATGGTGTAATTCCTTTCCTGAACTCCCTGAGTTCTGAGCCATGCTGCATATGCATGTGTGCAAAATCCTAGGTAACTGCTGCAGCAACTGTATAGTCTATTTACACCAAACTGCATCAGATATAACAGATGTAAAGAAATCAGTTGAAGATGAAACAATGTTTAGCATGTCTACTTAAAACTACAGTGAAAATAATAGGAGGAGCAGCGGAGTGCATCAAACAGAACGCAAACAATGGCAGACTCTTTTCATACTCTCTCAGGTCAAATGCCAGCTGTAAACTATGTGATGAAAACAAAGGAATGCTCAAAAGCTTCTTTTCTACAGACACCGTGTGCCAGAAATAGAATTTTCTCAAAGAAACCTGCTAAAAGTGCTATGTATTCTACTAAGATAAAAAAGGTAGAAGAAAGACAACTGAAGAAATACCATTTATGCCAACACCTTCTAGGCCCATATGAAACCTGGATTTATGTTTCCTCCTTTCCCACCCAAAAAGCTGAAAATTGTTTCACACACAAATTTCAATACACACACCAACAGACAAGTCTTCATTTGGCAATCATCCTTACAGTTATCCAAATGAAAGTACATGCCTATATCTAGGTCAAAAATAATGCCAAAATACAGGACCTATTTAAAAAACCCCACACCATGCCTTGCTTTCTGTCCGCTAGCGTCCCCTAGCCTAGCCTGACTCAGTGTGTAATTTAAGCTAACACGGGCTCTGCTTGATGAAGCAGAGTGTCTGGAAATGTGTGGACAGATCTGGCAGTCAGAACACTTGAACTTTAGCTCACTTAATGCAAGCAAGGATTCCACTTCCATGCCTCTTTGTCCTCATCCATTCAAAGGAAAATGCTTACTGCCACATCTCATCATGAAGATGTTGGGAAGACTCAATTAAAGTCTGCAAAACAGTTCTAAAATGGAAAGTTCTAGAAGTAGTAAACATGTAGTTACCAAAGGAAAGCTGTACCTATGACATCTTTCTATTACATAACATGTATAATGTAAATTGCACTGTTGTCAAAGATACTTAAGGTTACACTTCACTGGGTCATCGGCAGATTTTATTTTCCATTAGGTGGCATAATCCCTCTTGTTGAATTGATTGAAATGTATAATAAAATCTGTAAAAATGCTATACATTCTCCTAACAAAGAAGAGTAAGAGGCTTTTCAAATAACCTCTAATCCCTCTTCCCCTGCTAAATGTCTAGTTGAGATTATATTTGATTAGACAAAAACACACACATACATACAACCTAAAAATACCTACCCTCGGTGGAGCTATTTTAGCCAACAAAGTAATTCCAGTTGCCTTATTTAAAAGCCTAAGTTTCACACTGGGGTTTATAAGTATAGCTTTGCCTCAGTGACCTTCCATAATGCAACTTCTCTCTGTGGATGTCAGCAACACGAACTCAGTTTGCGTCCCGGGATCATGTTCAAGGGGAACAGTGATTAGATGGGACACCATCAACTTCTTCAGGCTTTCAAACTGCACCATGATGTTAAGCAGCAACTGTTTCCCTCAGCTGGCTGAGCATTATCTCTATCAGTGGTTCCCACTCATTTCTGAGTGGATTTTGGCAGATGACTTTCCACTTTCAAATTTGTCCCACGTCCTAGGTGTGTCCCCTTTTCTCTTTTCTCTGAATTACGATCATGGAGTCCTTCAGGTAAGAAGACACTACACCCGCCAATAGCCACAACACAGATAATGGAAACATTTTACTATGAGAGGAAGTAACAGTTCCTGATACTGTGCAATGATGTCTGTGAAAGCATTTATTGCCCCTACATCTGATCTAGGGATTATCACACCATTTAACTTTTAACTCCTGCCTTGCTACATTACCTTCCTCCTCTCTTGCATTTAAATGCCTTTCTTTCCCTGTGTCTTCTTGAAGCTTCCTCACTTTCCTTTTCCCAGAGAATCAAAGACACTACATCCTGTTCTGCCAATCACCTAGGAAATCATGGCAAGGAAAGTTTTATCAGATACATTTAAAAAAGGGACGGACCAATGTCTCTAGGAAACCATTTTGTTTGTTTGTTTGTTTAATGTGCTGTGTCAACAAGCCAATATTCACTGCAGTGCTTAATCTAATATATTTGTCAATCGATATATTGATATGCATGAAGGTAACTACAGGTATATGTTACATATATTCACGCAAATGTATTTGTGTGCATGTTTTCTGTATTATGTATAAATACTGTAACAATACCTACAGATGTACATAAACTAAGGCTGGTTAAAAACAGCTTGATGTGACCCCTTGAACCTTTCTTTCTAGGGAGACCATGGTCTTGGAAAAAGGCTTGTGAACAATGATATAAATTAAAGGAGAGGGGGGAGAGTGAAATTAGAAAGATAGCTAAGGAAAAAATCCAATTAGTCGTGAGAAGACTAACAGAATCGGAGATCAGAAATTATTTTTCCTTGTGCTTCGATTCTGAGGTCACATTCAAAACTCTCCAGAATGCTGATATTCCTTTCACTCCACCCCAACACAAAATCCCCTTGCATTTGCTTAATCGAGGCTACATCATTAGGAGCTGCACTGCTAAGTCTGGCAGTGCAGATAAGAATCTTCCACTGAACACAGATTACCACACGCATGACCGGCAAATCTCCCTGCATGTTTTGCAAGCTCCTTGATTTCACTAGGAAGATTTTATATTAAGCATGTTTAAATCTGTGTCACTATGGTTATGTCATGAAGTAATATCATGCATGATTAGATAGAACAGAGACAAAACAATTAACTATTTTTTTAAAAGATTTGCTTTCTCATTCAACCTCATCCAGCTTTAAGAAATTAAACACAGGCAGTTAATAGCTCAGTTTAAGAAAATATGTCTTTTCAGATCTGCAGGCTGAAGTTAGCTAAATGGATTTGTCCTGCTTTACTGATTCTCTCCCCAGTTTGCTCCTCCCATTCTGACTCTTTAATAAAACTCATCCATAAAATAGAGGGAAAAATAAATCTGAGTATTTAATGAAATAAATGAGCTCCTATTCTAAAAATGTGAGGCACCTGGGAAGAGGGCAGCAAACAAATACATCATCAATTCCAGCATCACCCCTTATTATAAACGGTGTCCATATTCCTTGTCAAGTTTCAGCATCACTATTTGCTACCATTAAGAACATTTCCAACACTGGACTCAAATAAAACAGCAGAAATAGTGAATTCTGTTGTTAGTAGTACCCTACTTTTAAATTACATTACTGACACAGATTGAATACTCTGAAGCAGCTCAAATTATCTCCTACCGAAAAACACAAGATATCGAAACTAAGGCTTAACCTAACAGGCAAATGGCTTGTCTCCTTTACAAAACCAGTTTGTCATTTCCATTTGTTCATTTTTATGAGAAATGTAAAATGTTTATGCTCTAAATATGTAACAACTTAAATAAAGTACCCACAGAAGTGGGCCGTTAAGTTTTGGCAGATAATTTTCTTTTACATTGCAGCCAAAATGCTAAGTGTTCATGGAAAAAATCTGCATGCTACCTCGAAAGAAAAAAAATAATCACCAAACTGGAAAGTCAAATAATCAAGCAAATTCTTTTCTGTTGGATATATAATTACCAGTTTCTATAGCATACTTTTTGGTCTGTGCTTTGCAAGATTTTCTGCTGTTTTAGCAAGAAAACCAGAGTAAGAGAAGCAGGAGCAAAAAAAAATCAGTGGTATGTATCTCTGTTTTGAAAAGCAAAATTTGGAAAAAAAGACTAAAAAAAAAAAAATCCAGGAGACAATCCTGGCAATGTTATCTTATTAGTGAGCAAATGATGTGCTTGATAAATTTAATTGGCTGATAGAACTCTTAGTGCTATTACTGAGTAGTTACCAAATTGAAAACATTATGGGTAAACCTAGGGGAATCAGCAAATAATAAGAAAATATGAATATCAAAGAAAAAGCAGCTTTTGTTTTATTCCAATTTACAACTGTAACAGCTTTGTAAACATCAGGATTCAGGAATCCTAAAAGACGTTTTTTAAAATGCTTGTACCTTAAAGAGTGTATTTCATTACTGTATACTACAATTCTGTACTTTTTCAAATAATTTATAGGATTTAATTGTATACAGATACACTCAGGATTTTTTTCCAGACTGCTCAAACATAACAAACAATACTATTTTATGGCCATTTGAATTATTTATGTTTCCTAATGACAAAAACTCACCAGTTTTGATTTTGGTACTGAGGTGCTTGAGAAGTACACAGTAGTGTCATTACCATAATAACTTCTGAAATTAAAACCTGTCTAAAACTCTACGGAAAGCTAACATCCAGTTCATTAACCATTCCTGTTAGTTTGTTTTCAATAATGCAAAAATGATTAGAAGTTTAATTTGCTAATCACCTGTGTTTTGACTGGCAGTGGATATATAATTCTCTGCAGAAGTCTAAACTAGCCCTTGCAGAACATAAAATATGCTAATGCTTTATCAAGTCTAATAATATGAATAAAAAAATCAATCATGCCTAGGTAAATCATTGATGGATCCACAATTAATTTCTCCTTAACTCTGTTTAATTTTGGAGACAATGGTGATAATGAGTAAGAAAAATGGCTATTTGCCTTTGAGAAGTTTTAGTGCTCACTTACCAATCATGTGGTTTGCAACATGAACTTGGATATCCCACTCATTGTAGAAAACCATCTGACATTTGATGCACTGGTAGGTCTTCTTCTAAAGAAACAAGGGTAGATAAAATTTACTCAAACATACAATTGGAATAATTTCATTATAATTTAACATACCAAGTTCACAGTGGTCATTTAAAGCTCTCCAGCAGTGCTTTCATTAAGGCTTAATTAATAATATTAAAAAGATAACATTCTGCAGGTTATGTAGTACCTTTCATTTGAGTTTTCTGAAACTTGGTAGAGATTGTTGTCCACTCCCTAACTCCATTAACACATCAGTATGGCTAAAACATCAGTATCACACTCATGGAAGGCAAAATGGAATGAGGATATATGGGATGTAAGCGAAACAACACTGAAATCCATGTGGATCCTTCATTTTACACCAATGGATTATATCCACTACAGAACAAAGGAGAAGCCAGAAAAAGAACATTGAAATGAGAATTATTCTTCTCTCATTTTCAGTAGAGCTGCAGAATCTTCTCAGCACCACACGTTTTAAATGGTCCATCAGGCTGCCATTGTTCAAGGAGGAAAACCCCCCAGCTAGTCTGGGCAAAAAGTTCCTGTATCAGGGCATTTGTTTCAATAATATCTATTGGCAAGCCCATACTAAAACTGGGAAGACTGACTGGAAACTAGCCAGAGAGCATGCCTTCTGGCCACATTAGATTGGGCTTGACTTAAAAATCATGGTGTATACAGCTCAAATTTCATTTTAAACCAGGAAATGCATTACTCTGCTCAATTTGGTCCACAGAACACATTTTTCATTTCTGTCTTCATGTCTTTTCAAAAAAGATCTGCTCTTTCACTTTTCTACAAGGTATAGAACTTGTCCAAGACATTTCAATATCCTAAAAATTTATCTGCATTTTCTCTTATTATTTTTCTTGATCTGAATTGGCCAGAGAGTTGATATTGGAAAGCATTGTTTTAAAAGTGAAAACTAAGAGTGTATTCAAAGTTAGGTTATTTTTTTCCTTCATAAGACTTAAAAGCTGCAGTTATCCAGGCATCTAATTAGATAAGCCAGATTCATAACATTATTCAACTGCATAATTGTAGTATCAAGGACTCAAGTCGTAAGGTAACAGTCCTGAAGAGCTCAATTCTTGTTTTGAAGATGCAATAAAGTCAAGGTAAGCCCTGAACTGCCACATCAAGGCAGTAACTCAAGAGACACAGATCTTTCTGTACAGCCACAGGCACCTTGCCTACATCAGCAAAAAGAAGAAAAAAGCACAGAAAAACACATATTTTTTAGAGAATGTAAAGTCACAAGAAACTGCTGCAGATATGTTAAATTGCAGATTTCCCATATATTAGTTGGAGAAGAAATAGGGTTCACTGGATAACATGCATCAAAAATACAGCCTCTCTTGTACATATTTAACTTGTGAAGAGTTTTATACAGCTGGTATTATCAATTATAATTTTTAGAAGGTGTTGGCTTTTTTTACCTGACTCCAAACAGTAATAAAGACTTGCTGGAATTTTTGTCAGCATCTAAATTTAGATGCCTGGTCCCAGACAAAGTACCCATCTATTAAGTATCTTTCTACTTCAAGCCTGTAGGCAGGAATATAAAGACTTTTCAAACATATATTGTTTTGTCTTACCAAGTTAACTGAAAAATTAGTGACTAATCAAAGTCAACTCTGAAATTAAGTGTTCCTGTGGGCTCCTCTTTACAAATCTCCCATTGCTTCACATTCAAAGGGGATATTTTAATTTTCTTGATGACAATAAAATGTGCTGCCTCTTTTCAAGGCAGAAACAATCACAAGGCTTTTTGCTGTTTTTAATTTAAATTAACCTTAGTTTTTCAAAATTTAACCAAGTTAAATCATTATGTAGACAACAAAAAATCAATGGACACCAAGAAACCAAATCCACTTTGACTTAGTGTTACTGTTGTGAGTTGTAAAGCCAGCTGTTTTTAAAGATAAAATATTTTTTCTCTTTTTTAATTCTTCTGACAATTCTGGTGTCATTGGTAGAAAATCAGATTCAGTCTAAGTATTTCTTATTATATGTTGGTAAATTTAACCTTACTGCACTACATCTAGATCTAGCAAAGACCTCTAAATAATGACAGTCACAATCAACGATTTATTATGCTAAGCTCTTTACAAGATTCTTTTTGATGCTGACATATAGAACAACAATATTGCATAAATAACAATCGCTCTCCCTTTTTTAAAACATTGTTTCCCTTTAGAACTAGTTAGAAAATATTTCTTACTCCCTGATGACTGCCACTATGTATTGTTTATTAGCATATCCCTAGCATTATTCCTGATATGTGACTTTGTTGAAAAACAAAGAAACATAAATGTAATGGCTGGTCTTTTCTCTTGTTAGCAGAGCAATGCAGAGTGCATGTCAAGAATTGTCAGCAAAATTATGACTGATGTACATAAAGACAACACATACAAAGGTTGGGGATTTTTTGAAGTCAAATGCTAAAAAGTAAAGTGATTTGACAACAACAAAAAATAATAATTTACTAGCACTTACTAGCCTGTTCAAAATAATCTGACATATTTGCAGAATCACACACAGAGTTTTTCTTTTTATCATGAAGAGAAGATTGTTTTTGTGACTGCTGCTTGATCAAGCACTAGTTCTTTTTTGTTTCCAAGCATACTCTAAAATGTTGACATCAACTTTTATTAGCTCAACACACACTCATCTCAAAGTGTCTAAACTTGTGCATGATTAAGTTTTTATTTTAAAAGCATACTCAGTAAATTCCATTTACTCCTAGATTTTCAAAGTGATCAAACCCAGTTGTTTTCACACCATGTTGAACAAAACCCACATACTTATTTCCATATGTTTCACATTCTAAGGAATTCCTTGTTTGCTGCAAGTTACACATTAGTCTCATAAGCTCTGTCAGAACCACAGGACTCATAACTGCTCCTAGGAGTTTCTGGGACCTGATGTGCTTCATGGATGATCCCAATTCCCTACTAGGGTGAGATCTCAGGGGAAACCCAGCCCCTTCTCACACTGTGTTCCCAAAAAGGGGAAACTTGGGGGAATAAGACAGGAAAAAACCCTGAGGCTGCAGCTCCATGCCCCTTGCCTGGATAGGAAGGAAAAAAGCCTTGCAACACTTGTATGACACACTACAGAAGAAAAATTGGATTGTGACTCAAGGAGGCATTTAAATTTCTTTTGAGTGTCTCCAGCTTTTGCAGTGCAAGATGGCTCTAAACAGAAAGGAGCTCAGGGCTGTGACAGCCATCCTTGCCTTGTCCCGCTGCAGCTGTTTGCAGCAGGGAACTCTTGCTGAGCTTCCTTGCCCCTCTGCCCAAGCCACCAGCATGTGGAGGACTCAGCAGGACTGAGCAGACACCCCAGGCCTTGCTGCTCCAGCTCATTGCCCTCAGCACATCCATCCCACACAATGAAGAGTGGTCAGTTAAGGGCACTTACACCCTAACCTGCCACAGCTGCTTTCCTCAAAAGATACCTGCCAGTTTCCTGAGGAGACAGAAGAATGACAATATTGTCATTCTCCCCTAAGAAAAAAGTTGACACATATTTCCTGTAAGAGAATAATTTCAAATCAGCAAGGGTGGGCCACAGAATGCTCTTGCCAGTACATTTCTGTACTCAGACAGGACCAGTTTAGTAAATGGAGAAGATGCAATGTGTTCTAAACCATGCTGTCTTGCAACCACTCCCAAGGATTTGTTCCAGGGAAAAGCACATGTGATTAAGAAAGTGGTTTAACTTTTTTCTATTATTATTATCATTATTATCACCTCATCTAATAAAAACTCTCCAATCAACAAGCCCATCATCCTTCACTGAACCCTCTCCTGTCAAGAACCTAAGTGCCAATTTGTCTCCCCCATGCTGAGTGTAAATCTGAGGCCCAAGTCATTCCTAGGGCCATTCAAAGTCACTGTAGAAGAGTAACTTCTTGGACAAATGTCCCACAGGACCATTGTATGCCTGTTGCATTCCTGTTTTCACAACCATTTTAAAGCTTTCCACCATTCAAATCTTCTTTGTGACTTCATTTAAAGAGCTTTGGATTGGGCATATGCATGTGTCTCCCTAAACTTTTGAATAATTAATGTCACCTAGACCTTTAATTATTGTCCCAATCCTCACTTATCACTCTGCAGTTTTCTGAATTTCTTTTCTATAAAAGTGCCCAGAGTGTCCATGTCAAGTGAAATGAGACTGCTGCTTTTATAAACAGCCCAGGAATACGAACCTTCAGTTGGTACTTCAATTCTGTGCACAGAATTTTATTTGCTTTGCTTTTATAAATAAAGCAAAACAACTAATAACCACACTGCTAGAGGATTTACAGTTCTGTTCAGAAGTGCTTCAAAAGTATGCAGAAAATACTTCTGTGTAGACTTTTGTGCCCTCTCACTGTCTGAGGCACTGATTCATTCTTTTTTTTCTATTCCCCAGCCTCATTATATTACTTGAAAATGAACTGCATATGCTACTTATTGGCTTATGCTCCACCTCCTTGTCAAAATCATTCAGTATTTTATCACTTGCCTATTTTGTTCTGACATTTCTCCAGTTTTGTACTACCAGGGAATTTCATCGCCTTACTACTTATTCTTTCTTCTACACTACTGATAGGCTGCATAAGTTAAATAAAATTGGTGCAAATAATGATTCTTATGGCCTTCCATTATTTACACCACTCCAAACTAACCTGCTTCTATTCAAAAGACTCTCATGCCTTCCATACCTAAGATCATGTTTCTTTTCTTTTTTAATCAAAGAAAGTATCTCTCCCTATGCCGTACTTATTCACCCAACAGATTAGTCTTTTGTGCTATACCATTTCAAAAGCTTTGCTAAAATCCTGGTAAATCATGTTTATAGGCTTCTCTGTCAGCACTTGTGGCTATTCTCTCAAAATACTCTTTATTGAAAATTTTAAGCATGATCCTCTCTCTGTGAATCTTTGCCCTCTATCCTTCATTAAATCCAAACTTTCTTCTATCATGTTTTTGATTAGCCTTCCTCTTCTGTTCCTCACTGTTT